TTGCAGATGTAGGTCTTGCCTAATGGGGCATCTGTTCGAAATCATTGCCTCTGTTTGGCCTCTGAATGAAAGGTCTAGGGGATACAGAGAGTCATTGGCAGTGCTGTTCTCAGTGACCTCTCACTGACAAACATGCCAATTCCCACAGCTTCTTTTCTAGCCAGCAATAGGCATTGTGGTTTATATTGTGGGCCAGATGGAACAAATGGCTCCAAGAAGGCAGACAGATCTTGGGACAGCCTCTGGTGAAAGCATGTTCTCTGAGGAAATTACTGCCTCAATCATTCTGGTGTATCTCTAGCTAGAGCAACAAAGAGAGGTGGTTCCCTTCCCCATGCTGAGAAAGAAAATATATTGGAAAAAGTCTAGGGAAATAAACAAGCAATAAAGTAGAGCTGAAGAGTCCAGTCTTTGGGTTAGATTTCCAGCAGTAAACTGTATCTACTCTACAGATTTTGGAGACCAGGGGGTTACTCAAGGTACATGTCTCCTGCCGAATTCCTCCTTTTAAATTCACTACCTTGTGTGGTTTGTTTGGACTCCAAAAGAGCTCCTGGGCCCTCACTATCACAACCACCATGCCTGCCAATGAGTTCAAGACTTGGGGAAAAAAGGGTTTGAATGTGTTTTCCTATTATTTAAAAAAGAAAAGATTTAACAAGTCTTAGTCTATGCATTTTCCTTATTATTTGCTCACTGGATGGAGACAGCTAAATTATTTCCTGTTTCATCATTTGCAAATTTGAATAAACACAACATGCCATTTTAAAATATTATAATAAAATTGGATGTACTCGGATGATTTTAGAACGCTTAGCAAAGGACTAATTTCCAACACTAAGCAGAAATTTCCATGTCCTGATTGGCATCTGGCCTCCTGGAAACTGAGATGTCTTCTTTGGCTTCTATAGATGATAGTCACCTCCCTCCCAATGCAGAAAAACCCAACTCAGGCTGGGTAAGGAGGGTGAAGAATGTCTGAGTCCAAGAATCTCCCTGTGCATACCCAGAGCCCAAAGCACAGGTTAAGACAAAACACAACAAAGGTATACATAAAGAAGGAAACCTCCCCAGGTCGTTTAGCCTGAAGGTTGACATCAGCCATAAAGCAATACAGTTTGTGTGGGTGGTTGATTGAATGTTGATGGGTTCTCAAAAGAAATTCTTCGGGACCCCGTCTTGTCTAGTGCACCAGAGCTGCGTGGCAATATTAAGGAGCAGGAAGAGTTTCAAGAGCACTCTACAAACCTGGTTCTGTGTTTCTAGAGATCACAAGCTGCCCCCATACAGTAAGTACCCATTTTGTTAAATCATGAAGGAAAACCCCACCTGCCCTTTCCATACCTTTCACTCCTTCCAATTCACAAGTAGGTTTGAAAAGTAGGCTTTAGAGTGCAGACCTGCGTTTTTATTTGTCTTCTTGGTTGTTTGTTTGTTTGGTGGCTCATCTGCTGGCATTTGAAGCCCGAGGGACTATTTCCTTTTCTGAAATCTCCTTCTTATACATACAGTCTATACATACACGTGTGCACTGAGCCAGGAAAAGATCTGATTCCAGGGAGTGGGGGTGAAGAGTCTTGCTATCCCACAGTGCCTGGTTCTCCTATTTCATGGTGTCACTGAATTATTTCACACAGGAAAAGTCAAATATTGTGGAATTTGTTTTTCTCGTCCTATAAACAAGCATAAGGTCAAAAGATATGAGGCCAAGTGTATCACAGAATCTGAAAACGGTTGCTTAATTGAGGCTGTTTTAGGTGATGATGTTGTTAAGGCTGTAATCTTATTTTATGGCTGAATTCCCTTTCTCATAATCGGCATGTATTTTTGGTTGACAATGTGATCTGCCTTCAGTACAAAATCTAAGTTGGTTTGGTCATTTGCTGAGGGGAAAAAATGAGATCAGCATATGAACTCAAAGGGTTTTCTTTGTCCCCTAGTTGACACCGTATGTGAGCTTGTTGAATGAATGCATAATTGCATCAGAATGCTACAATATATCCTCTCCTTCTGAGAAGCTCATTAATGGTGTGTGAGGCAAAAACTACTATGAGCCTAGCTATGAATGAATACATTCAGCAGCAGGTTAAAATCCCAAAGGAGCATCAATTACCAATTTAAATGCAGTTTCTATTTAAAGTTAGATTACAAAGCCACAGTATAATGCCCCATGCCTTCAAAGGCAACCAGTTTTAATTGATCAACCTGTAGCCCTTGAATCCAAATGAGCCTTGTTCTTATTCATGGAAACCTCCCCCCCACGTCTTTGATTGGAGGGGAGAAGTCTAATTCTAGGTCAGCCCAAGAATGTGGAGAGGGGATTTCACAGTGCATTCAAATTCTTAGCATTCCTTAAATGGACTTGATCATAATGGGAACTGTTTTTTTGGTTGTTTTTGTTTTTTGGTAAATTCTCTTAACTGCTCTAGTTAAAAATGAGGGACTCATGTGGATATTTATCATCCTTCAGGCCCAGGGCCCCACTAGTAAAATTCTACTTTGTCATTCAGTTACTCAGTAAGCAACCTTGGAAGCAAAACTTCCAATTTGTGCTCCTGAGATGTAAAGATCATTATTTAAAAATCAGTGGGTGAGGTGATCTGGAAAGCCTTGTGTGCTCCAGATGGCCTTCTTCTCCTAAGGGAGATGCTTTTCAAGGATCCCATGAGGTCATGAAACCTGTGGAAACTTCCTACCATTGGCAGGGGTGGGAGGGCAGTTAAGTAAGGCCATGGTGATTTGATGGCTGAGTTTATTTCCCCCAGCACCTAGCAGAGTGTGACACATAGCAGCATCCAGGAGCAGAGGGGGAGAGGAGGTCCTACATATCATGGACTCAGAGACTCACCTTTCAGCAGTCTAAGCTAATTGTATCATTTCCAGAATGCACGCTAACAGCTGAGCCTAGGACCTGTTCTTCACTGACTCAAGCTGGTGGTGGCTCTTACTTTTCTCTTTCTTCTATTGACCTTTCTTTCAACTATGTGTGCCTTTGTTTCCTCCCCATTGAAAAATTGCATAGTAGACACTGCAGAAAAATGCCCTGGACCACAAGGTCGGTTGGAACCCCAAGGTCAGTGGTTCAAACCCACCAGCAGCTCCTTGGAAACTCTATACAGGGATCAACCCAATGGCACTTAACAACAAGAACAATTGGTTGTTTACATGCCTGTTAAGATATATAATGCTGTTTCAACATGATGTGTGGGTTTTTAAAGAATCAAGTATGAAATGTGTCCATTTTCAAGTTATAACTTTATTGAAAGCAGCTCTTTGTCTATATTGCATTTTATGTGTTACCTGATGAATGACAGAATATGAAGATTTCTAAACGCCCTCCCATACAATGAATTTCAGTCTTAAAATCCACATTAAATTTAAAACTCAACAAATCCACCCAATTTGTCTGTAGGATGGCCTGGGCAACAGGGTGTCGTGTTGTTGCGAATCGACATCAATGACAGAAGATTTGTTCTGATTGCTGTTAACAGCTCTCCCCATACGTATATACTAGTACCAACAGAGAACCACAGCCTGGTGCAATCCCGGGGACCTACAATCAGTGGGGCCCTTCAGGAAAACCTCAACTCATCAGGCCCCCAAGTCTGTAGTCAGTGACGTGTGAGGACAGTGAGTGATATGCAACCTGCTTGTGGAGAACCAGCTCGAGGAAACAGAAGTGCCAGACAGTAATTTCTACTGGGCACCTTTAGAAGTATATGTGATTTTTTTTAATGGCAGGTTCTGAAGCAAGAATAAGACATTTAGCCTGATAGGGGGAAGTGAGAAAAGGAGGGTGAAAATGTACAACTTGAAAAATGGAACCAATGTCACAGAACTGTACTCACATATGTGGGATAAAGCACTGGGCTGCCAGGTCGTTTTGAACCCCAAGATCAGTGATTCAAACTCAGCAGCCCCTCTTTGGAAACCCTACACAGAGTCGCTATGAGTTGGAATGGGCTCATTTAACAACAGTGTAGCCATCAGAACTTCAAACTGGTTCATTCTTGTTTGACCCTATGCTGAGAATTTGCATTTTCACCCAGATATACTGAATCAGAACCAACATTTTTACCGGATCCCAAAGGAGATTCTGACTCAGTATATCTGGGGTTGTTGGTGTTAAGTGTCATCAAGTCAGTTCTAACTCATAGCGATGCTATATCTAGGGTAAAAATGCAAATTCCCAGTAGAGAGAATAACCAGTACAAAGTCATAGTAGAAATTGCTAAATTGGGGTATGTTTTGTTTCAACAACAGTACAAGAAAATAATAGCAGTCAAGTCATTTAGCCTGTGAGATGGTGTTGGAGACTCTATGTACCAGGTAGGTGACACGAGGTAGGTGAAATTGTAGGCATTTCAGAGCATAAGCCCCTAGAGAACAATGCGTGATCAGTTTATGGTCATGTTGGGCATTGGTTAAGAGTACATTGGGCCTCTCCCTAATTCTTAGCAGGAGGCAGGGTTCATCTTTCTTTGGACAGTTAAAGTACGATCTGCCTCTGTTTTGTGTCCTGATCTCTAGGCTTTCTTTTGTTAGGCCTGATAGTGAACTCTATTCCATCTGGGCAAGGGGAACTTGGGAGCCTCTAAGGCGTCCTGGTGGGGTGTTGCAGGTTAATGTGCTGGACTGCAAAGTTGGTTTGAATCCCAAGGTCAGCAGCTCAAGCTCACTAGCATGTCCCAGGAAACTCTATACAGAGTCGCTATGGATCAGAACCGACTCGACAGCACTTAACACCCATGGAAGTAAAATGCACTCACAATAATTACCATTCTTATAGGAGGAATGTCAATCAGTGAGACCAAATTCCTCAGGCAATACTTAACTTCATGGCAATGACCAGGCAGCCAGGTTTTTACCCATGGCACCCAATTCTGAATGAGAAACCCAAACTTAGGCAATACGGGATTTGACTATTTCTTGCATTCCATTTCTCTCCTTGTTTGGAAATATATAACTGTCAGAGGGTATGAAAATTAATTTAGTCTGGATTCACATTTTCATTTATTCAAATATTTATTTGAACTCATAAAAAGTGCACTGACACTATTTGAAAGGTGAAGAACTAAAAATACATTCCAAATATTGACCAAAATATTGTGAGAAATAGCTTATAGAACTTCCAATCAAAAGTACTGTTACACACATTTTCATATCCTTCTCCATACAATCATATCCCTCCTCAAAACCATACCCTCCAATCAGTGAATTCATGGGATGGATTGCTCTGCAAGATGCCAAAAATGAAGATAAATTAAGAAATTCAGACAACTAGAAGGAAGAGATATAAATGTACAAATAGAACATTTCTTCTAGAGTCTCAGGCATTCAGGATATTCATAATCTTCTTACAAATATATAAAAAAATTTTAGTGAGTTATATTCATTTGACTCCATTCTCTTTCTTCAATTCTTCACGTCAAGCCTGCAAAAGAACCAAAGGACCCATTAGTTTCAGTTTTAGGAGATATTTTTAGGAACAGCTTATAAATAAGTATGATAGGACCCATTTCCACTTGAAATGTCATTCTCTCATTTTTATGGATGTGAACTATGAGTAGTAGGTATGACCATCAATTTTTCTTCTAGTGATTTTCAGTAATTTCAATCTAAATTAAGATGACTTTCTTTGGAAGGATTCTAGTGTAATGCTAATTTTATGATTGTGACCTTAAAAACCCTTAGAGCCTGCAGTAAATACTGTTGTTGTTGTTGTTAAGTGCCTTCGAGTCGGTTCCGACCCATAGCGACCCTGTACAGGGTTTCCGAGGGTGTAAATCCTTACGGGAGTAGAAAGCCTCATCTTTCTCCCGCGGAGCGGCTGGTAGTTTCGAACCGCTGACCTTAAGGTTCGCAGCCCGATTCGTAACCACTACGCTACCAGAGCTCCTTTAGGGGACTTCAAAAAGTTCATGGAAAAATGCCATTATCTTTTCATTCCAGTTTCACACCAACTTTTTGAAGCCCTCTTATGTTACCCTTGTTCATTGTCTCGTCAACAACTCATGATGACCTGACATGGAACAGAACTCAAGCTGCCTGGTCCGGGGCCCTTCTTGTGATCACTGGTATGTTTGAATCCATTGTAGCTATTTTGCCAATTCATCTCATTTTGGGTTTCCCTCCTTCTTGCCAACAAATTGGTATTAATGGTTCCAAATCTTCACCCTTCCCAATAGCCAAATGCATTTCCAGACACTTTTACATTTTTGTACTCTTGTGGGATTTTTTTCTTTTAGAAATTATCAATTTTTGGCCCATGCCAGTCTCCAACATGAGTGAGATACCATCTCCTCCCCAACATTTCCCAGGTGAAATGTTGAATTGTGTCCCCCACCCACCCTCACCCCCACCAAAAAGATAACTTGAAGTCCTAACCCCTGCACTGATAAATGTGACCTTGTTTGGGGAAACAGTTTTTCTTTGCAGATGTTATCTATTAAGTTAACAAGGTCTTAACAGAGTAGGGTGGGGCCTAATCCTAGACCCTTTTGAGTGGGATAGACAGAATTCTACACAGGAAGAAGACAGCATTTGAGGATTCATCTACACGTAGCAAAGGAATGCCAAAAATTGCTGGCAGCCACTAGAAGTAGAGTCCTGGTGTCCTATAGGATAAGCACTGGACTGCTAACCACAAGTTTGGTGGTTCAAATCCATCAGCCAAACCCAAATCCTTGGAAACCATATACAGGGTTGCTATGGGTTGGAACCGACTCAATGGCACTTACCAACAACAACTAAAAGTTAGAAGAAAGGCATGGACTATTTCCTCCCTCAAAGCCCTCCAATAAATCTATATGACCAAAATGCCAAAATCCTGAATTTGGTCTTCCAGCCTCCAGAACTGAGAAAGTAAATTTCTGTTCTTTAAAGTCACTCACTTTGTGGTAGCCGTTTAACTATGTGACTTGCTTTGGCCAATAAAATGAGGCAGAAGTGATGGTGTGCCAGTTCTGAGCCTAAGCCTCAAGCGGTATCACATGTTTTTGCTTATTCCCTTGTACCTCTGCCACTACCATGAGAAGAATATGCCCAGGCTAGTCTGCTGATTCTAGCAGAGGGATAAGAAATCTATGGAGCAGAGCCACCCCAGCTAAAGTGCCCAACTGCAAATGTCTAGGTGAGCCCAGCCAAGATCAGCCAAACCCAGCCTAGATCAGCTAAGCCACAAACACATGACCTATAGTAATCATTTTATTTTAAGCCATTGAATTCTGAACATGGTTTATTATGCAACAATTGCTAATTGATATGGTGCCTGCGGTATAGTGAATTATTTAATATATCTTCTAGCCAGAGTCTTCGTAAACTCCCACTGAACAACTTTTTCCTGATCGGTCTGGGTAATAAAAGATGGAGAAAATACTGATAGGATGACATGACTCAGCTGTGGATGTTAGCAGAGTTCATTGTAATCGTTAAAACTTTAAACTCTAAGCATGGGTATAAACTGAGCCATCAAAGAAGAAGAACCAGGACTGGAGTGTGTCCTTTAGACTCAAAAATCCCTGTGCATTGAACCTCCTCAACCCAAGGACAGAAAGCTGTGACCCCAGACGTGCCAGAGGAGCAGCAGCAGCAGCGCCAACAGAACACAATACAGAGCAGTGGGTTTCCCAGCCCACCGAGCCAGTAAAACAGTGACTTTGGGCAGAAAGCTAGCTTTCAGAGTGGGGTGCCTCCAGGCACTTAATAGGTGGCGCTAGGTTTGCTGATCCATGGAGCTAGATCTGAGTACCTTCAGGCTGAAGCTTATGGTGGAGTGGTGTGCCCTGTGAGCATTTATCAGCAGCCCTAAAAAGAGCTTTGTAACACTGGCCCAGCGGAGAGAGAGGCCTGCCTGTGGGCATGTCTGAGGAGAGGCTGTCCTGACTGGAACAACGATGCCCTGAGCATTTCTGATCCCAAATTACAAACTGTTAACTTCCCTAATAAGATGGTGGTGTCTGAGTTCTGAGTAGCCATTGCAATGAATCATTGAACCCCGCTAAGTAGAGTACTGTGGTGAGGGATAGTTGGTGTCATCTGTGTTGCAGTGCCATTTCTTCTAAAGGCTCTTGTAAAGCAGGGATTCTTGAGCTTGTTTTTCATTCTTCAGTGTCATTCCTTGGGTTTTACTTATGTGAATGGGCTAGGGTTTTTTCCAAGACATGGAATGCTCACAGTTTTTTATTGTCAGCAACTAATGAAAGAAAACTTCACAGACAAGGGCCCTGCCTTATTGTGACAGAAATTATGATTGGCTCTTTCCACACCAATTCTCTATCAACTTCTCCTGTGTTTTGTCTCTACTACCTAGGCTGTCAAGCAAACACTGTATTTCCTGGCCTCACTTACAGCTAAGGGACCCAGTGCTGGCCGATAAACCCAGGAGAATTCTGCAACAGAGATCTTTTGGAAAGGTTTGCTTTCTTCTATGTTGCTTTACAGATAGCAAAGCCCAAGATATCATTTGACATTTATAGCATTCCTGTGACTTAAGTTGTCTTATGTTATACTCATTTTGAGAAGAAGTACACAGAGGTTCAAAACAAAGTGAGTAGCTCTTGTCTCAGTAGCTGGCAAATGGAAATGTTTGGATTTGAATTCCCGTGTCCTCACTCTGGTTCCCTTCTCCCTCCACTAACAGCGAATGTTTGGATGGTTCTTGAACCAAAGGGATTAAGACCATAGGAAGGTAGTAATGATTTTTTTAAAATGAAATTACCAATTTTAAGTCCATGCCATCTCCAACAGGAGCAAAATACTAGATTCCCAGGTGAAGTATATTTTGTCAACCACATTGTACAGCCTTATCCCAGCCTACCAGGTCAGACCCATCTCCTGCAGCCTGTGCTCCAAACTTCCTGGACCACTTACTGCTTCTGGAATATAACAAGATCCTTCATGCTTGTCATATTTGCTTGGAATCCACTCCCCTAACTTCCCACTTAACCTTCTTACACTGTTTTTATTTGTCTGTATTTTCTCCTCTCACAGCTTTCCCACTTGAGTTACCCTGCCACTAGGCTGTGGCCTTAAGGATATGAAGAGTCCTATTCATTTTTACCTCCCCATTGCCTATCACAGGGATGTATAGCTCTTGTAGCGTAGTGGTTACGAGTCGAGCTGCTTAACAGCAAGGTCAGCAGTTCAAAACTACCAGCTGCTCCATGGGAGAAAGATGAGTCTTTCTGCTCCCATAAGGATTTACAGCCTCAGAAACCCTATACAGGGTTGCTATGAGTCAGAACCAACTCCACGGTGTATCACCACCAGGGCTGCATAGATTGGATCACTGGATAGGAGAGAATGGGAGAAAAACCCGAGATAGAGTTACCACCAAATCCTCATTCTTCCATGGGAAGCCATGGGAATGAGAGGGGCACAGACCCAGTGTGGGTCTCATGTGCTATGCCCAAAGGGCTGTAGTCTGCCCTAAGAACCCCCCTGGCCCCATCGTGACTTAGCTATGCTAAAGCCATTACACTGCTGCAGTCACTGTGCTGGGTGACACAGCCAGTTGCTCAAGTTAAGGGAGGGGCCCGTGACAAACTGCCCTTGAAGGCAAGACATTCCTTGGGCTTGTCTGAACAGCACGGAAGTGGTGATGATCCATAGCAAATTGTCACTGAAGCACACTCTATGAGATGTTATTTCTGTCTGAGAAGTGTCCAGACTGTAAAATGCAGAAATGGGGACCATTTATATGACAAGTTAGAAATGGATTTTGTTCACCAAATATCTGTCACAGGTAGGTGAACTCATGGCTCCAGAGAGAAAGGAGGAGCCACAGGCAGGACCCATACATCTGGGTCCACCTGGTGGGTCTCTCGCTGAACAGGGAAATCGTAATCAGGTTTCCCCAGACTACTGTGGCCTTCTTATTTAGAACAGTCAGTGCCTGAAGTCATGACTCAGTGCGCCCAAGAGCTAGGGAAGCAGGGACAATTCTGGCTGAAGAGTGGGTATGGGGACAGTGTCACTGGCTTGTGTTTCGATCCCATGAGAGTAGAGTAACAGCTGAGGGTTGTGGTACCAGTTTTGAGTACCAGAAGTGACCCCATTTAATCTACAGAGTGACTCTGATTCTTCTTATGGAAGCAGCTGGCAGGCAACAGCAGACAGAGGACCCACTTCATGTCCTCCTACAGACGGCACTCCACCCCCTGCCCAGGTTCCAGGAGAGGCCAAGAGGGCACAGCAACCCTGAACCAGGCCCCTGCTCGTGGCTAAGATCAGAGCTGGTCCTTCTTGGGTTTCCACCTATGACACCTGTGTGAGTCAGCAAGCAGGTACAGGCATGCCTGCTGAATCCTGGGAGATGTGAATTCAGGGACCCAGAGCTCTGGGTGCACTGCTCCAAGTCTGGGCTCGGGTTTAGAAATAGGAAGCAGTGGGAAGGGATCCAGAGCTAAAATTGCCCATGCAGTAAAGCACACT